TCATGTCTTTCATGATCTGGAAACTACAAGCTAATGACACAGAATCAATGTCAAAAGCTCTCTGCCAATTACATCGTGAATGACCTGTTTGTACGGGCATCTTTGAAAGTAGTTCCATTGGGAGCCTATTTCTCTACTTACACGGTTTCGGTGGACCAAGGCTTCAGAGTAACCAAGAACTCAAGGGTTGAGTTCTTAGACTGAGTTTTTTTAATGTGAAGGTGTTACTATCTTTCTTATTGAGGTCTGAGGTCAAGGGGCATTGAAAGTGCCAGTGCATCCAATTGTTTCTGAGGTAAAGCCATTGGCACTGAACACAATTAAATAGACTCAAGCCCTGGCGCGAAGCGTTAGAAACGTTTTTGGCATTGTCTGCAACATGATGTATGTGCCAGAATGCTACAGCCACTGCGATAAGAAGAAGAGCCCGCTTCACAAAAGCATTGGTGATTCATAAACAATATTCTTAAGAAGGGTAGCATTTTGTAAAGCACAATTATCCTACCACTGGTGCTTAAACACGGCTCATTGGCTGGTGGGGTATCTCCAAATGCGACTCGGACCCATTGCCCCGGCAACGTGTTTACATAAACAAGTAAACGCTTCGAATCGCCAATCTCCAACCGAGCTATCCCGCATCAGGCTCTTCACGAAACCAACCATAATATCACGTAGCTCCCCATGAGCTAGAGACCAAGCGTGTACCGATACCATTTTGCTTTCTACGCTACTCTTTTTTTATCCTTCGCATATTCGCAACGCCTCCTGCTACCGCAGTTCATACAGGTGCTTCACTGCTCCTTGTTTTTCATATCCTGGTCCCTGTGCTTAGGCGCATTGTTTTCACCATGGAGGAGAATCCGGTACGTTGTTTACTTGGGACCCTCATGTTTCAGAAGCTGATGATTCTTGGGTGTAGACATTTAGGAGCTCCAAGATTAGTCGACTGCCGGCGCCCTCGATGTCGATGTCAATAGGGGCTGGAGGGGCTGGGCTCACGGAATGGAGCGAATCGCAACATAATGCCCGCATTGCGTCGACGGCAAGTTCGTTGTCGGCTCTGAAGAATCTGAAGCGAGAGATTCCTCAGCCAGGTACGGAAAACGATCACCTATAGTGGTTTTCTCTGACTTGAAGCAGCATCGCAATCTGACCCGAAGCGCAAACCTCTTTCTGATCGCGCTCTCGAATATCCTTCAAAGCCAACCTCACATGTTCCCGCCGCGGCTGGTATCAGATCAAATATGAGGCCTCAGAGCCTGGCTGGAATGTCCTCTGGGGTAAGACAAGTCCCTGGTACCCTCGCTTTCAGAGCGCTTGCTTCTGCTGGATCATCATGATCGCATGACAGCTGCTAATTCTCCCCAGCTCAAGCAACCCTCGGCCACCCAGTCACGATACGGCACATCTTCAAATGTCTTTAGCAGAAACCAGGCCGCCCGAAACGGTGCTCCGACAGCCACATCGCGAATCAATGGAGCAAACGGCGTCAATGGCGTCAACGGACGTCCTGGCCATGCCCGATCCAAGAGTCAAGCGCCTCGGCCGCGTACGGCCCATGCTCTCCGCGAAGAAGACCGATACGAAGCTCCAACCAACAATGGTACGACGACACTCTCGCAAGATACATCTCAACCTGTCACCACACTTTCCTACAACAAAGTTAGAAATTCACAGTCTTTCGCAACATTGCCAACCATTAGAGATAGTTCTCTGACTTCAAGATTCCTTGAAATGGGCCTTGATGAAGAAATCCCTCCTGGAAGTCAAGCGATTTCTAGACCTTTAACACGACAGTCATCACATTCTTCCACCACCTCACATATTTCCAATATTCCATGCAAGCGCCGTGGTAGAGATGACCAGAGCAACGTGTCAGCTTCAACCTCCCGACAGACTTCATCAGAGCGGCCTTAGGCAGTCCCTCTGAAGCCACCGACCGCCGAGAGAGTCAAGAGGAAGCTCCATGAGTTCGAAGAGTCCTTATCTTTATCACCAGTCAAACAATTCACCTCCCCCGTCAAGAACACCTCTCCTGGCAAGTCATTTTTGAACAAAGATTCTAATCTAACATCATATGTAGCCTGGGACGTCGATGGCCGAGTAGTTGATATGGAGTCTCAATTCAAAGAGCTCAAGGAGATGGTGAATACTACACTGAGCGAACGAAAGGGACAAGACGATGCTCTTGAACTTGCCAAGAAGCGAGGTAGGTAGTATCGTGGGTTGGGATGTCCAGCTACTAATGAAGACCACAGTGCAAGAGTTGGAAGGTGACAGACAGAAACTTGACATGAGGAACGATGCACTCAAGTCCGATCTTGACGCAGCAAGGGAAGAGGGACGCCAAATTCGACATGAGATGGAGAAACAGAAGTGGGAATACCAACGACAAGTGGATGACCTGGAACGAAAGCACCGAGAAAAGATCGACGATATGTCAAGGCAACACCGAACAGCAGTCGACGAGCTTCGAAGGGAACTGGACCGACTGAAAGAGCAAGAGACGAAAGACCACGAGCAAAAGATCGAGAGTTTGACTAGAATGTACCATCAAGAGCTGGCCGAAGAGCGACAGAAGAAGGACCGCGAAATCCAGGAACTACGACTTCGAATGGGCAATGAGCATCAAGACATGGGAATGGCTATCCAGAAGAAAGACCGAGAACTTCAAGAAGTCAACTCTCAAGTGGAAGGCCTTCGAGGAGACCTCGAGCGAGAACGTACCTTGAAGAACAGTCTCCAGACGAACATCGCCGAGCTTTCAGCAGCCAACACAACCCTCGAGGCCAAAATTAACTCACTAAAATCGCACGTCGAATTTCTGGAATCCGACAGCAAGGCACAATCCGACTCCTTTGCCAGCATGGAGGCACGTCTCCAAGAAGCTCTGCGTATTGCAGAGGAGGCCCAGCACAAACTCATCAAGGAAGAGACGGAACGCCGAGTGCTGTTCAACAAGTACCAGGAGCTCAAGGGCAACATCCGAGTCATGTGTCGTGTGCGACCTGCACTTGGCAATGGTGAGGGCGAGGAGGCCAAGATGCTGTTCCCCGATGACAAGACATCGGCGGAAATTGTTCTGGCTGGTCCTGAGGAGAAGAGCAGTCTGGGACAGATCACACGAAAGAACTACCCCTTCGAATTTGATCGCGTTTTCGTTCCTGGCACTCAGAACCAGGAGATCTTTGGCGAGATCTCTCAGCTTGTTCAAAGCGCTCTTGATGGATACAATGTTTGTATCTTCTGTTATGGTCAAACTGGGTCGGGAAAGACACACACCATGTCCTCGAACGATGGTATGATCCCTCGTGCCACCCACATGATCTACGACACCATCACCAAGCTCAAGGAGAAGTCTTGGGAGTACACAATGGAGGGTTCATTCGTCGAGGTGTACAATGAGGAGCTCAACGATCTCTTGACGCCAAATGAGCGATCGGCAAAGAGACTCGAGATTCGACATGACGAAGCTCGCAAGCAGACAACCATCACAAACTGCACGTCAGTCCGTCTCGACAGCCCGTCAAGTGTGGAGACGATGCTTGAAGAAGCGCAGAACAACCGATCAGTGGCGGCCACCAAGGCCAACGAGCGGTCATCTCGTTCTCACAGTATCTTCATCCTGAAGCTCATCGGAGAGAACTCAGCTACAGGGGAGCGCTGCGAGGGCACGCTCAACCTGGTCGACTTGGCTGGTTCTGAGCGTCTCAAGCACTCACAGGCCGAGGGCGACCGTATGAAGGAGACACAAAACATCAACAAGAGTCTCAGCTGTCTTGGTGATGTTATTGAGGCCCTTGGTCGAGGTTCAGGACACATTCCATACCGCAACTCCAAGTTGACACACTTGCTGCAGTACAGTTTGGGCGGCAACAGCAAGACGCTCATGTTCGTCATGGTGTCGCCTCTTGAGCAGCATCTGAAGGAAACATTGACGAGTCTTCGATTTGCAACAAAGGTATGTCTCATCTTCCAAGATTTTGTCAAAGCAACGCTAACAGGAGTAGGTGCACAACACTCATATTGGTACAGCCAAGGCTACCAAGAAGGTTCGCGATTCTACATAGGCAGGGCCACTATCGATCACGAACAAGGAGGTCGAGCGTCAATAATGGAGTTGTGTGTTTATTTTGTTGCTTTTGAGTTGGGTCATCGGGATAGCGTCTGGAACAGAGCATCCAGGGCAGGGAGTTGGGGTGCATATATGATTGAGTGCTGTCGCCTGACCTATTGACACTGGTACAAGGCCAGCTTATGATGTGTTTGTTAGGCGAGCAAGGCAATTGATTGATTTCTGGACATGGGATTGGTAGTGGAAGCTGGTTGAGCTAGCTGTGTCGATACGTGGAGATTGTATATATCAATACAGATATGGTTACGACAGGGATCTATGATGACTAGTAACAAGAAGTATCTTTCGTGTTGGTGATGATATTGTAAGTGATATTGCTAATGAGAAGTATACTTCTGTTGGTGATGATTTTTTGGTGTTTCAGCGCGTTTGTTGGTGCAGCCAACCGTTAACCGCCGATAGATTGGCCAATCAGAAGCTACGAATCCCATGCCGTCAACCACGGATTAAGTTGAGCGTTGTTCTCTTTGATCTTGCACTTTCACATTCATTCAGGATCTTATTCATTCCTTTATTCACCACGGAATATTGTTCATAAAGCTAACCAGAAGCTTGTTATTCTAACTCGCAACTGAAAAGCACGCATTGAGTTGGTGGTTGTGAAATTCACGGGCTAGTGCCTTGCTTCATTGTGACATTCGGCTTCACGGAACGAGTGAGAGAGTAGCCCTCCACCGGCTGAGAGTATGAGATAACGAGGCCTTGTATTGAGGCTTGGTGAACAATTGGAAACTTCAATTGTGCGCTTCTGCGTTCATCTGCTTCACAAACGCTCAAGTGGCATCTCGAACTCATCGACACCAACGCTCATGATTATTCCTCACCCTCACAATCCAGCATCATATATTCAATACCGATATCCGACATGTCCAAAACACCAACAGGTCTTCAGGACTCAATCTGGGCCATAAACGGGCGCTCCCGTCTCGCAAACTCAGCTCCTTCAACGCGCTCGTCTTCACAGCCTTTAACACGCGCCTCCTCACAACCTTCACGGCCTTCACGACCCCCACCATCCTCAACCCCTCCAAGAAATCCAGTTTCCATAACAACATCGACTACGCGCTTGAACCCAACACAAGCTTTCCACCGCTTCGAACAGGCTTGCCATCGTCTACGGTGGAAGTACATTGATTTACAGACTTCATACCACCGCGCGTTAAATCCAGAGGAATTCGGGTTCTTGGTCACAGACGCGGAGCGGAACTTTAAAGTCGACTTCCATGAGTTTTACGCATGGATCGAACAAGCGCTTGTTCTGCTTCTGATGGTTTTCGGTATTTCAGTATCGCGCGGCACTTTATACAAGACGGGAAATCACACATATCACGAGAATGTGCTCACAGAGCTAGAAATGCCAGATTGTCCGGTCCACGAAGCGTTGGGGAGGGGGGAAGTGAACCAAGCACTTCGTAAGGCGAAAGAGCTTCGAAATCGGTGGAAGGATGTTACTGAGGGCAAGGAAACGCCGCCGTTGAAGATGTATGATTTGACGTGGCTTGTTGGGCAGATCCTGGGAGGGTTGGAGGTTGGGTATAGCATTGCGGCGGGGAGAATGCAGGAGACGGTGCAGAGGCATTGGGATGATGATGATGAGCATATGGGTATGGGAGAGGCTCAGGCGGATGATGAGTGGGAGTGGATGGTTGAACCGATGGATTGGGAGGTTGCGTAGGGATAATAGGAGTCTTGGGATGATGAACTGGATGGGCTGGAGTGAATATGCATGGCGCAAGATAGATGTTCATCATCTGTAGACATATCGGGTACTTCTAACGGATCATAGGAGTCTATAGCTCATGATACATCGCGGCAAGGGCTCCTTGCATTGACAGACATCTTTCACATCGGGGAACACTTGTAAAACCACCCCGTTGTATTTTCTATCAATTATCTACCCCCATCAAATGCCAATACCAAGGTAAGTATCCCATCAAAGTAGAACCCCAATCAAATAAATAGAAAGACATCAAGTCATTCAAAAGAAAGAAAGAAAAAGAAAGCATAAAATGCCATTACATCCCCTCACCATTAGAAACCCCATCGCTTACGAACAGAACCTGGCTCGCGGTACGAAGGAGGCTCGTAAGCAGGTGGCTCATACTTGGGTTCTTTGACACCAGTAGTGGTAGACGACTCCTCTGTGACCTTGCTTGTAGTAAGGAGAGTGGTGAAGCCAGTAGCTGCGTCTGCGCTGGAGGCGAAAGAAGCGGAGGGCCAGCCGTCGTTGGAGCTGGGTCCGAAGTCATAGCCTTGAGGTCCGGTTGACTCTGCAGAAGGTACTGGTGTTTCTATGGGTTGAGTGGGAGTGGCGATCTCTGAGTCTGTTTGAGCAGCGGTGGACTCGATAGGGATGAACTCAGTAGGAAGAGTAGTTTGGACTCCAACAGCTGTCTCGGTTGTGCTCTCGAGGTATACAGAAGTTGACACTCCAGCTTGACCCTCTGATGTCTCGGCACCAGGAGCTGTAGTCTGCTCGATCACCTCGGATGTGGCAGAGGTGTACTCAGATTCGAGAGAAGACGCCGAGGTGAAAGCTCCAGCCAAAGCAGAAGAGTCAACGCTGGCATCGGCTGTGCTGTGGATGATGGTGGTGTTGTCGTAGATGTGAGTGTGCTTGGTTGAGGTGCATGGTGTAGTGGTGGAAATCTCAGCTTCAGTTGTGACTCCAGCGGCTGTGGAGGCGGCAGTTGGAATAGTAGCCTCGGAGCTGACATCCTCGGTTGAAGCAGGGCTCTGTCCAGTCTCAGTACTGCCACCGCCAGCTTGAGAGGTTGTGTCGATGATCTCAGTGACCTCCTCAGATGTGGAGGCCTCAGCAGAGCCAGTGTAAACAGTCGAGATACTCTCCGTGAGTGTGACCTGACTGGTTATAACCGACTTGAGAGTTGTTGTAGAGACTCCTTCAGGGATAGTAGAAACGCCAGTGTCTTCAGAGAGGGTAGAGCTGCCCTGTTGAGAGATGTAAGTCTCCGTGCTCAAGCCCTCAGTTGCAACCGACCCTGTCTCGGAGGGAGCAGACTCAGAAATCTGTTCAGTCGTGCCCTCAGAGAGTGTCGTAGACTCTTCAACTTGCGGGAACTGAGTAGTGTCAGATGCAAGAGCCGAAGAGTCCACACTCGGGACAAAAGTAGGCATAGTCTCCAGGTTGCTAACGACCTCGGAAGTCACCTCCAGAGTGGCAGTGCTAGTTGAGTATCCATACACGGTAGAGTTCAGCCCGGACGACGTCCCTCCAGCGAGAGCACTTGAACCGATAGAGACCTCAGGCTGGGAGACGACACTGGAAGTCTCGAGGATAGAAGTGTAGGAAGCAGAAGTGTTGGCGAAGATGCTTGTAGAAGGGATAGAAACAGTAGGGAGGGAGATGACGTTGGTGAGAGTCTCAGACTCAGACAGGATAACCGAAGAACCAGTCGGAAGTTCAATACCAGATGAAGTGCCAAGGTACTGGGTAGAAGTACACTGAGAGACGGTAGTGTAGCAGGAGAGAGCACATTCTGTGACAGTAGCTTCAGCTCGAGGATAGAACCTCAAGCCAGCGGAGGGACAGCTAGTGACGGTAGATGTCTCTGTCACAGTCACAGTCTCCTGTGCACAAACAGCCAGTGCCCTGTACTAGTCAGCATCCATCCATCCCAGCCGAGAGACAACAAGAAACAACACCACTTACCAGAGCACCACGAGGGTGAGGCGAGCGAGAAAAGACATTGTTCGGAAAAGCGAAGATTCCAGAAGCGACTGTATTGAGAATATGGTAAATGAGTTAAACGAATGACAAAAGAAGCGCCAGATAATTTCCAGTGGTCTCACTCTGAGGATTTTTCTCTTTCTCTCCTCAAAGTCTTGCTTCATCTCGACTCTTTATACCTCTCATTGAGGCCTCGCACGAGTTTACCTAACCAACCAACCCCCCTGATGCTGCATCCATGCCGTGGTACCGGAAAGACCGCGATGCTATTATTAAGGAGATGTGTCTATCCGCGCTGTATGTTTCGTCTAGCCGTCTAGGAGATTATTCTACCCGTCCCGTTGGCGGACTGACTTCGGGTTCCGGCAATGCCATTATGTTGGATGTTCTTGTTTGTTTGTTTGCTCAACGTCTCGTACCGTGGCGACGGGAGTCGTTACGGTCTCCGATGCTTCAGCCCGTTTTTGCTTCCCGTGAGGTGGTCAAAAGTGGCGGATAGATTTGGGATTATGTGAGTTGGGCAGAGTGAAGGGGGTGAGTCAGTATAACGTCTCACTGTCACATCCGGCGACAACGTATAATACAAGAATTTGCCATCTTTCTGCAAAAGTTCTTCATACGAATCGATTTCAAGTTCCGATCGTGCGGGATCGTGAAGCTCACCCATGCGTGGATGCTGTAGCACAGACACGACACAAGCTTCATATTTACAGCTGAACAAAACAGATCCGGAAATACACAAGAAAAGCTTGTACCGAGATACAGCGGCATTGTAACTTGCATTCATGGTGTCAGGGTGATTTCACGACAGGCTGCCTCAGACCGCTTTTCGTTTGGTGTATGTGTACTTTTAGATATGTGGCGTAGATAGGCATGCATGCGTACGGGAGGCTGCATATTCCTTTGGTGAAATTGCACAGAACGCAACGGGCTCAAGAAAACGGGCTTTGGCGGTCAGAATAGACAATACACGGCGTCCTGCTGCACGAGTCAGACGCATGGGTAGCCACCCGAGACTGAGTGTCACGAGTAGAGCACGTTGCCATGGTGTTTGAGGTTTCACTGCATGTTGAGGGGAAAGCTTGAGATTGAGTGTTTTTTTAAATCATTGTTTGTGCTAAATTGATGGGATGAGCATGTTGATCGCAATAGCTTTGTGCTCTTCGTGATATCATCGTTGGTTAGATAGAGGCACGGAGGACTTTGAAGGCATCCTCACGGCTGCCGGTGAATCGAGCCTCGGCAGTCTTCCAGTTGATGACGTTCCAGATGTTGTCAACGTAAGCAGCCTTGCCATTGAGGTACTATCACAACGTTAGTCGTTTCCTTGAAGTCTTTGGGGTAAATCGTACCTGGAGGTAGTAGGCATGCTCCCACATATCAACACCAAAAACAGGAACCTCTCCTCCAACAACAGGATCCTGATCCTTCGTCGTGACAATACGAAGACCATGCGTATCCTTAACAAGCCATCCCCAACCACTACCCTGCAGTCCCAGAAGTGTCTTCTTGAACGCCTCCTGGAACGCCTGAATGCTACCCCACGTCTTTGAGATCTCAGCGCTCAGTGTAGGAGCACTCTCAGGCTTGGCGTCAGAAGAGCTAGAAGGGCTAAGATTCTCCCAGAAGAGAGAGTGGTTGATGTGACCGCCGCCGTTGAACTTGATGGCTGATTGCAGAGCGATCTGGCCGGCGATGTCGTTGGTTGAAGTAGCGGTTGCGTAGTTCTTCAGCGCAGCGTTGAGGTTTGTCACGTAGGCTTGGTGATGCTTGCTGTGGTGAAGTTCCATGATTTGAGCAGAGATGCTGGGCTCAAGGGCCTTTTGTCATGGTCAACTCTCTCATTCTTTCATGGTAGATGTCACGGCGGGGAAACTCACATCGTAGGCGTACGGCAACGCCGGAAGAGAGTAAGTACCAACAGACATTGCGGAGAAAGACTGAACGTTATCAGGGAGAGCAGTATAAGCTTGATTTTGATCAGAAGCAGAGTTAGGTTCAGACGGCGACGAGGAGGAAGTTGAGACAAAGAAGAAGAAGAGGGGTAGAAGCGGGATCCTAGAGAAGAACATGACGAAGAGCGATTGCGTCAGAGCTAACAATTAATAATATCTTATTGTTGCGTGCTTCCACGGGTTGGTACGTATTCCGGGGGCTCGAGTTCATCAAGGTGTCGGGTCTGCTTTGCTTTGGTGTGTTGTTGATGGAGAAGACGGGAGAGTCGCACTAATTATTGCGCAAACTTGCTCATACTCGCTAACGCCTCAGAACCTTGTCGCCTATAAAGGTTGCCCAATTGGGAACGACACTAGGGCTTACGACGCGGTGATTGGTTCTTGTGTATGGCTTGGACTTGTTTGAGAGACTTCGAGAGAGATACGGCGAGTTTCAGACTACCAGCTAGTAGTGAGTATATCTTGTAATAGGTAGTGATATTTATTTATTCTTGATGAACTTCTCTCTCCATTTTATGTTCCTTTCTTGGTCATTTGATATCTGCTCGTCACCAAGTTCCGACTGTGCATTTACACTCTCGAGTCTAAGCCATCGACATCACCATGTGCGGCCCAGAATTCACAAACAGACCTCGAGGCGGCGCTCTCGCCGCTCTCACTCCTCCCATCAACTCCATCTCATCCAATATCTGCGGTGATCTCGCTTTTCACACTCCCGGAAGTCCTTCGAGCTCGAGAGCAACACATGCAAGACTCACTCCAAGTGAAGAGTGCAGTATGAAGAGCTTCTGCGACTTATACGTTGTTATTCAGTGAGTCTCATACTTCTGCTTCTTCACAGTTCAGAGTTAACATCTGAAAGTTCTAGTGGTGATTTGACAAGAAACGCCAACGAATGCGGACTCTTCCGCCAGTTTTCTCTCCAAACGACCACGACATCTCCCGAGTATGTTGAGTTGCCGCTCCAAGGGCCGTTATCACTTGAGGTTGGGGGTGATGGAATCATAGGAAGACGTGTTTCAGTGTATTCAAGGCTGGCTTCTGGAGACAAGATCGTTGCTGAAGGCATCGTGGGCTTCAATTTCATGAGCCAGGCAGCACCTGACGAGACTTCTTGTCCTTCATCGCCGTCACCATCGCTATAGTGAAGAACCTCTTTGGCCTGTGGATGGAGGTCTAAGGCCATCAAGGTTGAGGAGTTGCGCTCTGGGCGGGGAGCACAAGAAACACTGCGGATTGGCTCACTTTTTTTAATCATCACCATTCTTGGCGTCGTTTTCATCAGGGTTCCCTTTTTGATTTGGAGTTGGTATCAGGTTACTATTCATGCAAATGAGGGACAGCCTAACACAGCCTAGCGATGGGCAATTTAGGTTCAGACATGAAATCAAGGAGGGGTTGGCGACATGGAGTTTTATCTCTCAAGCCATAATATATATCATTCTCCCTCATCAAGTCTTCCCGGGCCCTCATGGGACGGTGAAATTTCGATTTTCGCTTATTGCGCATTCGCAGCTTGTCGTTCCGTTCAGAGCGCTTCTGTCTCTACGGAGTATCAACGCCCCTTCACATCCGCAGCGAGATGCCTGACCAGCTTCACACCAGTATGCTCAAGGCCTCTGCAATTGCCAAGGTCCTGAAGTTCATTGATAACTCAGACCATATGACCATTTGTCCCTGTTCAATCATGGGTTCAATGACGGATATAAGGCCGTTGCCTCACCCAGCTTGAACAGGCATTGATTGGCATGGATAGCTACACCACAACCACAACACCACACATCACCATCGTCTACACCAAATCACCCCTACCAAGACATCATACGAAATATTCATCCGAGAATGACTCCAATATCTTCACATCATAATGTTTAGCCTCGAAAGGCTGCCTCATTCGAGCGACTGACGCCTGCGACACAGCCACGCACAGCCACATCAACCTCACCCACTCCCTTCCCCATCACCGTCATGTCAGCCTCGCTCACCAACCACTAATAGTCTAATATCAACCATGGACTGGACTTCAGCCAAGCCAAGATGGACTCCAAAAACAAGAAACCCCAGTTCATTTTCCAACTCCTGATCAGGGTCCTCCCTTCCCTGTTTCACGGCCCAATTCCCTCTCTCGTTTAAATACATCGCCCATAAGCAAGCCAACAGACCTTCTTTGTTCCCTTTATTCCTACCCACCGCCTTTTTAACAATATAATGCCCTTTGTCGCAAACACCCCCGAGTCCTACCTCAACCGCTCCGACTCAAAAGCCGTAAACGGAACATGTCGTGGTTTAACCTCCAATGGCCGCCCGTGCCGTCGCGCCGTTCAACAGACGGCGCCCAAGACCGACAAGCGCGGAAGACCTGTTACCCCCGACCCTCGTGATGAGAGTCTCTACTGCTGGCAGCATCGGGAGCAGGCGAACATGTCGGCGCATTCGAGTCCCGGACCTAGAGCTACTTCGACGCCGATCTTGGAGGGACGAACGAGTTTGGATACGCTTGCGGATAGATTGGGATTGGTGGACCTGCAGGAGAAGAAGAAATATAGAAGGGATACAGCGGGGCGAAAACAGAGCGCGCCGAGACCGAAACCGCAGCCGAAGCAGTCTCTTCTGTGTTGCTGCTTCTCAGTGCCTCTCCAAGATGTCCAGGAATCCCAGCCTTCACGCCCTCAACCTCGTCCAGTCCAGAAGACATCAGCTTCGGTACCACCAAAGCGCACGTCAAAACAACATCTCACCGCATCGCAAAACAACTCTTCCGCCAAAAACTCTCGACGCTCGCGCAAATCCATTGGCTCGCAGACAGCACAGATCAAGGACTTCATTCCCGACTCTGTAGACACCCAGACCGCCTCCGCGCTTATGTCTGAACTAGCTCGTCCCTTTGGCGCTTCGGAGGAACCTGGTTTCATATACATGTTCTGGCTCACACCTACATCCCAATCGTCCGCCGCTCCAGTTGATGCAGCGCGCTCGCTTCTCTCCCCACCTTCACCGAATCGAGCGCCGCGATCTCGAAGTGCTAGTAACGCTGTTTCAAGCTTCGCGGCCGCTGACCCATCAACGTCAAAGAACACCATGCTTCTTAAAATCGGTCGCGCAGCAAATGTTCAGCGTCGTCTGAACCAATGGCAGCGCCAGTGTGGTCATGAGGTTGAGATTCTGCGATACTACCCTTATCTCCCTGGATCGCAGGAGTCTTCTGGTGTGGTTCCCCATATGACACAACATGTGCACAGAGTTGAGCGCTTAGTTCACATCGAACTAGCGGGCATGGGTCTCAAGAAAGACGCCGAGAAATGCGATGCTTGTGGGAGAGAGCATCGCGAGTGGTTCGAGGTGGAGGCCACGAGAGAAGGAATCAAAGCTGTCGACGGTGTCATAAGACGATGGATAGAATGGGACGAAACGATGACATGAAATTAATGATTACATTGCATAGATATATACATATAGCCGGCGTTGGGTTCACATGAATACACGAAGTTACGATCCACAACCCCCCCAAATGTCACGTTTGACCAGACACAAAGCTGCGATCATGGTATCTATAATATAAGAATAGTCCCTCTCCCATCTATAAGTAAAGCCCATGCCATCTCTCATGACTCGTAAGAAAGTTCTTTCGATCAAATGCACCTCGCGTCCAAATTCCCACGCTATACGAACCGCACCTCATCAAATAGACCTGCTCTGACTTGAATAAGGGCAGCCAGCTCAAAAAGGAATGATTGTAGGATGATAACATTGGTGACGACGTGCGACACTGAAACGGTTGTTGTGTTCTCCCTTGCTTCTCTAGGTTGAGGAGTTTCGGGCTCTGGTGTATCCATATTTCGAGTCTCTCGTTGAGGTGTCGCAATCTTGGGCTCCTCCGGTTCGTCTTCCTTGGTCTCGGGGTCGTGAAACTCAGACTCACTAGGCTCAGATTCATCGACTTTGGGGTCCTTAGTCTCGAGTTCCTTGGCTTCCACTTCCTTCGCGGGTTCACCTTCTTCAGCATCAGCAGATGTGGCACCCTCAACCTCGGACTCGACCGGTTCCATCGGTTCGGCAATTTCAGGCGCAGTCTCGGCGTCAGAAAGATCAGTCTCCGTATCCTCCGTCTTCGCATCATCCTCATCCTTCGCCTCCACAGGTAATTGCTCAGTAAGATCAGTCACAGTATCCTCGAACTGGTCATCATCGGCTTCAGAGAGAGCCTGCTCAGCATGTTCCTCCTCCGCTGTCGCTTCATTCTCTACAGGTTCAGGCATTGGCTTCTTGTCAAATTTGAGAGGAATAGGCTCAACCTTGACATCTGGCAATCCCACCTTCTTAGAGAGGATAGTCTGGTCCATGGCTGCAAATTCTGCCATCTGTCGAGCAAGCACTTCTTCCCTGGCCTTCTGCGCCGAATCGATAGTCTCGAGCGTTCTTGGTGGGGAATGGCTACGTCCAGGAGTGCCTCGCCCCCTACTTTGAGACGCTTCCTTGGAACTAAGCACAGACTTGCCAGGTGTCGCGTTGCCACTTCCAGAGCTACGACCCAGCTCTTTGCGTCCTCGCGGGCTGCTGGCACGGCTCGGCGTTCCCAACTCGGACAAGAGACGATGCGCTAGTCCTTCCAGTGCCGACGGTCGGGAGGGTGATGCGTTGCGCGATACCTCTTCAAAGCTTGGTCGATCGGGAGGATCTTCGCTGATGGGGGTCGGCCTGGGTGTAGGACCCGCGTGGTGTAACATTGCATCCGCGGTCCTGAAGGCGTCACGCCGTTGTTGTACCAACTCGTCAAATCGGGGAATACTCCTTCTGTAGGCAGCAACCTGTTCTTCCAGTCTCCTGAGAACGTTGAAAACACGTGGTAAAGACGCCTGAGACCATTGCGGCCGTTGGCGACATTGTTCCATAGCTTGCAGCTGTTTCTGTTCTGGGGTTGGGGATGGCAGATCCTCAAAATCTTCATCGTCTTCGCTCTCTGCATCTTCGTCCTCTGTAGACTTACGTCTCGTCTTCTCGGCCTCATCGTATATATAAGTGCTTGGACTTCGTGTCAACCATCCTTCGATCTTCATAAAACCGCAGACCGCCAGGTCAACAAGTGTCTCAGTGACGGACAAATTCGTCTCGACCTGATTCACAAAGAACGTCTCCAGGAGATCCAGTAGTGAGTTGAGAAGAGGGTCATCAGGTCGGAGGGTGTGATCTGCAACTTCTTTGGGCGCTCCGGGAAGACTGTCGGGCAGCCTCTGATTACTCGTAGATGCCCTAGGCGCGACGAGCTTGAGAGAGCAAGGATGTGCTTCAAGCCTAGACATAGTATCACGAAGGACAAGCTGATAGACCTCATCAAAGTCATCTTCACCTCCTATTGTTCCCGCCAACGACATGATAAATTCGACTTCTTGCTCTTGAGCGCCTACTGTTCTTGTGGCATTCTGAATAGGAACATTATCCGTTCTTAGGAGAGTGACGATAGCGTATCGGTGGTGCCTCTTGAGAATAGCTGACACCAGTTGTAAGGTGACATGAATTGTTTGTTGATTCCGTGATCTCAAGCATGCGAGAACGAGATCAACCAGGTTGAAGAGTAGGGGCGTAGCAGCGGGTTCTGCCCTTTCTGCCAGCATCGTGGCTAGGTCCATCGACTTTCTCTTGCGAGCCTTACTGGCAGACGAGCTTGAGCCAGGACGGGCAGAAGCGATGTTATCAGGGAGTGCGAGGAGGTAGTGAAGGATGAGGTTGATCATGTCAGGGTGGTCGAGTGATTCCAGGATACGGCGAAGATAAGTCAAAACAGCCACAGAAGAGCCTCCGTCGATATCAGAAGACTCAAGCAGTGAGGGGTATCTAACCTGTTAGCATAGTTCGGGGTGAGAGTCGCTGGGGACTTACAATAACTGTTGTAGGAAAATAACTTGGAAATGCTCCAGGAGAGTCGACTTGACCTCTACAGACCGACAGTGGTTCAAGACGTCTTGCCAGAACAATAGGTGAGATAAGAAGGTTTCAAGGTGAGACTGAAACTCGGGCGAGCATGAGCTGATGACTTCGTAGTTGGATGTAGGATGCTCGTAGTCGGAGAAGGCGAGGATAGGGGGTAGGTTATGAGGAAGATGGTCAACGACCAGTTTGCGACTGAGCTGGCTGTACAAAGCGCCAAGACCTGTTGCCATCAAAGTTGATAGGTCACTTTCAACAATCCATTGTTCCAGCGGTCCTGAACTCGACGCAGCTTCGATGATGTACAGCAGTCCCGTTCGCGCAAAGTCTCCCACCTTGCCCTCATGATGGATATAGTCCATGAGGATATAAAAGAGTGGGAAGTCGGCCTTTTGTGTCCGTCCAACGAACGCATCCCGGGCATTCTCATCTTTCTCCCTGTTCTGAAGCGCCACGCCGCGGTGTGTCTTGAACCATGCTGGTAGAATACTCGGGTCCAGCCGAATCTTGGTTGTGATGTTAAATGCTAGCTCGACGACTCGCGACTCGGTATCTAGGCCCAGGCGCACGCTGTTGATGCCAGTGATTCGCACCAGAAGGTTCGTCAGGCTGGCGGAAAAGGTCTGATTCTCAACAAACGCTTCCTCCTCACTCTCGATAAGGGTCGCAAAGAAGAGGACGGCCTCCTTAATGATCCACTCATTGTACGAAGTCGTAGCGATCTTTCCAATGGGTACGTAGATTTGCTTGAGCGAGCAGTATTGAATACATGGATGCGGTAACGGCCTTCGGCTCTCGTCGCTTAGGATATTGGTGAGTTCCTGAAGGCGGATTTCGAGGGTTTCGGCGGCGTCGCTGTCTCGAGATAGGTTGGATGATGCTCTCCAAGCAGACTACTCTGGTTAGTGCTTGTCGCAGGCATGGGCTGACTTCGCTGGTCCTCACGAGTAAGAGGCTGTATTGTTTTTCGAACCGGTGAAGTCGTTTCGCAGGATCATGTCCCAGGTCCTTGCGGGTGCCCCCAGACGAGAGAGGGCTCAATAAGCGCGACCACTGCACGGAGAGCAATTAGTTGGATGTCATGGATGTAGTAGCAGATGATGATGGGATACTCACGAAATCCATGACGATATTGGAGTCATCTCCCGGCGACTATAACTAGGGAATAAAGGTCACCTTGACCACATGACGGCACCGCACAGGTCCTTGTAAGTTGAAGTGTTGAGAGCCGTTGTCCCCTGGGTCCAGGGACATCCGAGTTGGCATGTGGCGCTATGTGTGGCTGAGGTGAGTGTGGCTTCTGGTTCAGGGTAGTTGTGACCCCTATTTTGAAAAGACTCGTCTACTTTACTCTACAGATACCAGAAATTCACATGCAAGTCATTTGGTTGACCTTTCACCTTCTGTAACGATCTGTTCTGTTTTCTGATGAATGGGCCTTTGAACGAATGTCACATGCGTGGTTGTGTTGGCAAACACACCATTGTTCGACCCAGCAAGACATTCACTGAAATAGATCAAAATACAACTCCGGTTCAACTACTGAACCATCAGCTTGATTTACATGAAACCTGACAGGGTTGATATTAACAGTCTTTCAATTTATCCTGACTTCAGGCTCTCCTGTATACTGCAAGCCAGACGGGGAAATGGGGAGGCCGGAAGCTCACGACATTCAGCACAACCAAGGAGGACGATTACATCACATGGAAAGACTGATAGGAGTTAAAGTCAATGTAAAGCACCAGAGATATCTCAGCCATCTCTCGACTCATGCTGACTACCATACATTGTGAACTGCCTTGGCCTGCTCTGGTCTCCCATGCCATGCAAAGCGGCTTGCGCCATGACGCATTCTGACAAGCATTCCTGAAACATCTCCCACCATCTTCATAAGAACAGGAACGTTATTCCATGCATGTTCAGTCTGAACGATCAGTCTCTTGGTGATCCGGAGACTCGTATAGCTGACGCATCATGCGACGATTGCTGCGACGTTCACGCTCAATGTCATCCTGGAGAGTCTCGTTTTCCTGTTGTAAGTTGTCCACTCTCCATTTGAGGGATTTGACTTCTAGTTCCATGGATTTCAAGCCCAGTCGAAGTGTGCGCTGAATTTCCTGTTCTTGTCTTGCTAGGCGTCCTCTGGTACGTTGCAGGTCCTTCTTGTGAGAACGATAATCTTCGTCCATAGCAGCACGTCCCTTTGCAATATTGTCATCAAGTCGTTCATTGATACGTCGATCAAGGGCAAGAAAGCGGCGGTCAAAGACTTCCTCGCGATAGTAGTAGTGACGATCCTATGGACATGTGAGCTCAACCAGTTCGGAGGAATATAGAGGCAGAAGACAAACAGGAAGATGACGGTGCTTGCAACGACGAGTCTCTGTTCTATCAGTCGTGTTTTGAGCATCAGGAGCTGGAGCATTGGTTGCCGCTTCGGCGGTAGCCTCAGTGACATTTTCGGTGGCCGAGGCTTGAGCTGAACTAGCAGCAGCTTGGGCGGTAGCTTCAGCCTTATCGTGATCTTGCATCGTGAATGCTTTTCGAAGCCTCTCTGTCTTCTTTCGTAGTTTGCGTCGGCGCTGCGCACCTAGTCGTGCGCGGGCCATATTGGCGATAAAGTTCGGATCTTGATGCTAAGTGTTGATGTAAGAGGTATAGAGCGATGGCTGAACACTTGGCAGTTTGGCAAGGATCTCGAGGTGCAAGGATAAGAACGAATACCTAAGTACCTTAGTCGAGGGAGAATCAACAGAAGGTAAAGGAAACCAAGAGAACTGTTATTACGACATATAATTTAGAGTAAGGTGATGCATGACACTGGCAATGCACTGTTAGATGCCACTGCAAGTTGCTGCCAGCTGCTGCCAGCTGTCATCGCCGAACGGCATTCACCTTTCTCATAACCTACTACCCAATCAGCACTGCAGCCCGAATGCAGAATAGAGAACAATAGAATGCGGCCACTGTGATTCAACGTGCGCTTCTCGCAATCAGCTCCTCCATCTGGAGCCTATAAATTCTCTCTTCTCTCCCCTCTCTCCCTCCCTTCTCTTCTTCCTTCATTATCATCCCCTCACCCCTACAGAGGTCAACCACAACCAAGCCTTCTTCTTCTTCTACAACCTCTGTCTATTACTTTACCCTTGTGGCGGTCGTTCATCATGGCCAAGAAGTCAAAGCCTACTTTACGTGAGCGCAAAGCGCTTCAGGCGCTTCAAGAACAATCTGCGCCAGCGCTCGCCCCCCCGTCGGTAAGCTAGAAGAAAACCCGCGTCAGATACCATGTCTCACTGACCGCCATAGACTGAGGTCGATATGGCAGACATGGAGACTCCTCTTGATCAGGTATGTCTGCTTTCTTTTCTCATCCACCCTTGACTGCACTCCTCTGGTTGTCCCTTCTTCCCTGTATGTGAGCCAGAAGCATCAAAGCACCCCGACATAACGTCCAGGTCCCCGCGTTTGTCTTCAGACGCCGCGGCCTTGGATGTCGGGTCCCAGGCTGTTTGATCCAGGTGCTCATGTGAGCATCTCCAAGCTTAGCTTGGACTGCAGCTTGGGTCGCTTCCAGGTCCTCAAAGTCAAGCACAAAGGTATCCAGTTCGACTTGAAATGTAATTCGGGCCCTTCGCGGGTACTGTTTTTTCCTGGGAGAGTAGTGCAGCCCCCCCGTGGGTGCTGGTTTGTTCCGTCGAAACATCGGGTTGATATCTCCGGGCTTAGCCTGGGCACAACTTTGACTTTGGGGATCGCGGCCTCGTACCAGTTTACCTCGGGAGTACAGCCCACATTGCCTTGAAGTTGCGTCTTGGGCTTTGATATCGCTCCGGCATATCGCGTGGGGTCTGTCCAGATGGTCAATTAGGTTGCTCTGGGACTGGAGATCAGGGTTCAGTGGTCGCGGCACCAGAGGTTTCAAAGTGCATATCGAGGTGCAGACATACTCAGCTTCGGAATCCTTGGCTGACGGATGTGATTAGCAGGACACTCTTGAAGAGTTCGACGCCTCGCGTGAAATCGCCGCCATCAAGACACGCCTCGACCGACAGGATGGGGATACCGAAGAGAACCGCGAACTAATCACTATAGCCGGTGCCAAAATTTTCGAACTGGAGCCTGTAGTCAACAAGATGGAGGATGAGTTTCCGGATGTCAAGGAAAAGCTCCGCGCTTGCAAGAAAACGCTCGACGGGTTCTCAGATGACCTCGACGATATGGCTAGAGTCGACAGTGCCAAGTGGAGCCGTATCAACGACCGTGTAAGTACATTCTTTTGAAGCTTTGAAGCCATGGATGCTAACATTCTCATCCCCTGTAGTTGATGAACTTGGGCAGCAAATAGGGTCAAATGTCCTCGTTGATCGACAAAATGTCGAATGAGAATGCTGAGCTCAAGGAGCAGATCAAGAAGCAGAAGGTCGCTCTCGAACAGGAAAAAGGAAGACAACGCGCAGCTCAAGGCCGACATGGCCAGTATCATGCGTCGACTTGCCGCAATCGAGGACGTCGTCCTCCCGGACATGTGCGAGGCGGCCGAGAAGAAGTTTGGACAAATGGGCGTCTCAGATACTCAGTGATGATCTTGGAAGATGGATATGTACGCGGCAATGATGTGCTTAGATTCCAGCCAATGACTGTAACTCCAATTTGGTCACAACTCGGCTTGTGTGTTGGGATATATGAATGGTAGCTGAATGAACAAAGACGCGCTACGCCTTTGAACAAACGCTTAAATGCTTGAAAACCGTGATGTGATGTGATTGCAGTAGTTTGTTCTTGAACACCTTTGTCCAGACAACTTTGTCTGTTCCGAAGCCTGTCAATGGACGCACTTGCGCTGAAGAAAACCCCGCTTGGGGATGAGAGAGGGACATGGCCAAGAGCAGAAGACATGAAGACATCACCATTCACAATAGACAAACATTTAACAAGGGCACTACTTTTATTCACTGCAAGCGCTATCCAACAGCCCAGCCTGTCGAAATCGAACCAAACAATCGCTGTCCTTCCATCACAGCCATACATCGCCCAGCCAAACTCGACCGCTCGCTCACCTGGGGCTCGTCGGATCACCATTGCTGCCGCTGCCGCTGCTACCGCCACCGCTGGCCCTGGTGCAACTTGCCCAGATGTACTTAACCCGGTGAGAGTCCATGGGGGGCGACGCGTACTCCTCGCCGCTCGACTGCGTGAAACCGCTGACGTTGCTGAGCATGCTAGAACTACGTCCACGAGAGCGAGTCATGCGGGGTTCGAAGGGAGGTGCAGTGGGGGGAGGCTGCCAAGGAGACATGGACGGGAGAGTGGGAGCCGATGCCGAAGGGAGGACGTTGTCAGAGGCGGACCAGAGACCAGTTGGGTAGTGAGGAGGAGCCGTGGGATCGGGGTTCCAAGTACTCGAAGTCGTAGGCTGGAAAGGCGGGCCAAGGTGGGAGTGTCCTGCGTCAAGAGTAGGCATCATATCGTAAGACATGCCATTCGAGTTGATGTACTCGTGGAGATTCTGCAGTTGCATTTGCAGGTGTCGAATCTCCTCACTCTTGTTGGCATTGTTCGCACGAACATGAGCCAGTCGCTCGTTGTAGTTGGCTTCGATACCAGCAACATGACCCTGCCAAATGGAACGCTCTTGGTTTCGTCGTTCTGCCTCATCCAGACCGCGGTTGTTGGCGTCGGTGATATTGGCAAGTTCGTTCTCAACCTTGGCAATTCGAGTCGCCACCTTGTTGCGGCGGGTGTTGAGATTCGACTTCTCGACTTCCTTGGCCTTTATCTCCTTCTCCAGTCCAGACTTGAATTCCTTAAAAGCCTTCTGAGCTGCCTCAAAAACCTTTTTCTCGCTACTGTACTGTTTCTCGACCTTCTTTTTACGTTCGCCGAGTTCAGGTGCAGTGTCGAAGTTCTTGAGCTGATCAACGAGTTGCTGGGTATCACGCTCTGCCTGGGCTTTCTGCGTCTCTTGCTGACGAATCTTTTGTCGGTACTTTTCGTCATGGTTTCCAGCCGAAGAGAGTTGATTATCCGTCAACTCGTTGTCCTTCTTGAGGGCGTTGGCGCGGTTCTTGTACTCCTTTCGTAGAGTCTTGAGGCGGGACCTCTCCTCGCTAAGCTTGGCTTCGACTGCAGCAATCGATGTCCTGAGAGTCAGGGAAGGCGAATCCGGGTGGAGGGAGCGCTGTCCGTTAGCAACGGGAGGCGGAACGCCATCCGCTTCTCGCTGAGTGGCCTGGACAGTTCTGATGCTGGTTGAAAACAGAACCTCATCAGTCTGGCTATCCACAAACTCACAGACATACTTGGAAGCAGGTCTGAGTCCGTAGATGTCACCAGTCCATCGAACTCCTTGGTGGGATTCTCCTGGGGACTCCTCGATCGGAAACATGCGGGTGGGCTGCCAAACAGCGTTGTTCACTCTGACGTAGAATGGCTTCGAGGTATTGGCTGGTCTCGAATCTTCGCCTGAAGATTCAACTGAACGCGGCTCGTCGTCGTCGATTTCGGGAAAATGGCTAGTGTTAAAACAAACTTCATCGCTACCAATATAGGATATCCAAATTTGGTTGGGTTGGTTGTTGAACGGAGCATTACCAAGATTGTGAATGTCGGTAGCATTAGTTCCAGCAGACTCAGAAGCCGCATGGGATAACTCGTACTCCTTCACCACAACAATCTTGGTGCTCGCCAATGCCGCCCATAGCGGTTGCTGTAAACGAACTTGAGTGCTTTGCTTTCTTCTTTTTTTGCTTGTAGGTACTGTTGATGTCGAATTCAAGCCTGCTTCAGTATCAGGCGTTGCGAAGCCTCCTTCATTAGCCGTATCGCTGATCACACTTGGTGGCTTTCCGGCCTCAGGATCGCTGGCACCGACAGAAGCGTTGGCCTTTTCGCGTCTGAGATACCATTCTCGGATATATCGCACAATTCCTTGGGTTAGAATGTGAATGGCGAGAACACTTCGAATCCATCCGTAGGCAGACATCTTATCGTATGCGCTAGAAGCAGAGTCGACAGGGTTATTGAAAACTTGGGGCAACCGCCAGTGCTCTGGTATGTGTCGAGCCACACGACCCCAATGAGCTTTGGTTCCCCTGAGTAGGTGATGACCTATCACCCACATAAAACATGTCGTTAGGCCTCGCGATGTTCCATCCCTAGCACTCGTCCCCCCTCCCAGAGTAATGGCAATGACTGGCTTGGCAAAATCCAGAATAGCATCCTGGATTGGACCCCACAGGAAGAGCCAAATCAGAAGGAAGAAGAAGTCAACACACAAGACAGTTACGAGAGAGGGCATGGTCGAATTGCCGTCGAAAATCTCGGCAAGGTTGATGCTCATTCCCGAACTGGTGGCGACGGGAGGAACAAAGGTAAGGAACGTGAAGATGGTGTATATAACGGTAAGCGAGAGCGAAGGGACGTGCATAAGAATGATGAGAATAGCGAGTGTGTCCTGCATAGGAAGAGACTTGAGAACAGTGGTTGCGAGGTCGAACGGACCCGAGTCGCGATGGACATCAGCGTTCTTCATGGCATTGACATCGATCTGGCGGTGGCCAGCCTCGACACCACTGAGGCCGTTGGCGTTGGATGAGTCGGACGACATCTCGGAGACGGCGTCAAGAGAGGAACGGCGGAGGTCGTCGGTACGGGAGTCATTGGAAGCATCATAGACACACTGCTTGTAGGGGCTGTTGGCGTGACCATTGACGGGCGTCGACTGTCCAGCAGCACCAGCAGTACCTTGGTCAGATCGGCGAAGAGAGCTGTCGAGCAGGCCCGAGCCCTTCTTGTCGGAGGAACGCTTGGCAGAACCTACAAGCCCATTCTCATGGCGATTATCGCGATGATTGGCGGCGCCTTGCTGTCGCTTACTCGAACTTGGAGCGCGAGGCATGCGCAACGACTTGTCTTGCTGCCACAGTCTGACGAACCCAGGAACCACTTGGGAACAGGGCCGGCAGCCGGGACAAGCCTTTTAGGGACAAGGGCTTGGTGCAGAGAGTTGGCGACTCGAGTGTTATGGCGTCTCGGTCGATCTTTAACACGAGGGGGCGGGTAAAGTATCGGGTCTCGGAGTAATATGTAGTAGAGTTGGGAGGCGAGCCGTTGCGACAAGAAGGTTCGTGGTCGACATGTGCATTCGAATTGAAACGGTCGGGAAAAGAAAACACGGGCGACAAAAGGCTATGATCAAACTGATAAGGGCGACGACAAGAGGGGAACTATCGTCAAAATGCAACAAAGCAAAACCTGCCAAGATCGGCCGGAGGGCCGCAGAAAGCAAGTAATGAGCGTTGCAAGGAGGTAGTTTTGATCGGTTACGAGATGATTTACAGTGGGATGTTGTCAAGTGGATAGATAGTTGGTAAGATAAGGTAAAGAAAAAAGACAAGGCAAGGTAAGGTAGGGTTGACTGTCGGTTGAAGTCAGGTGGTGGAGGTGGGAGATTTTTTGGCTGTCAAAGCCCAGTCTTGGATTGGATTGGATTGAAAAGGAAACAGAAAGGAATAGAGAATAAGGAATGGAGTGGCAGAACGCAAAGACGATGGATAGATGGGAACGGGAATAGCGGGTAGAGGGGGACTCGCACTGTGCCAACAAACAAGCCAACGCGGCTGTTTCTGGCGCTGTTGGATGCTAGAGTCCACTGTAGTCCTAGTGGCTCGCATGATCTCAGCAGGGCTCCAACCTCTAACTGCCAATGGATGGTTTGCGAGCTGCACGAGGATCCCCCGTTGGAGTGCGGAATTGGGGCAGCAGTTGGGGGCAGCTTATGTATTCTAGTGGAGTGCGCGCTAAAGGCGCGTCAAAGCTGAAGTTTTTGAGTTTGGGATGCAGGTTTTTTGCTGGAAATAAATGAAGCAGTTGACGATGGAAATCTGCGATAGATCGCTCGAGGCTTGAACCGCTAAAGCTATGTACGATCGGATCATCTGGGTTCTTGCAAGTGGATCAATCATATTCAAGTTCCGTTTCTGGTCGATTTTGGCTTGTCGAATGCCAGCGGATCAGGTACTCAGGAACAAGGTTGAGAAGGCCAATTTTGAGGCGCTAGACTGCGCTCAATGGCTGAGTCCTGCCCACAGACGACGATGATCAACAGCCGAGGATGAAATCAGTGTCAATGTCTAATGCCACTCTCCAGGACGATGCCCTCAAACTTTGCGAACAAAAGATCATGACCGAGAATCGAGATACTAGCTTCAGTACTCTGTAAATAGCGCCCTCTTCGCGCTGAAATTGGTTTTTCTCAAGTAAAAACAACTGATCCATTCGGGAGTCACATGCTCCACCATGAAACACTCCGTGCCTCTCACTGTGTGAACCCTGTTTTTAGCATAGGTACTGGTAGCAGATGAGACAAGGCGAAAGGACGGGAAATAATTGGCAGGGACCAAAGTCTTTGTCCACATTCGTCACAAGACCATTCTTGAGAACGAATTGATTGACAGCACAATGCCCGGCTGTGTTGCTGCGTTGACGTTTCTTTGCAGGGTCTCATCTTGTTTCTATCACAGTTCTCTTAATACTGCGTTATATAGCCTGTTTCTTGTCACGCCCATGTGCCCGATTTCTTCACTCACATCTCGATATAACATCAACAATGTAACATTCGCGTGGGCACGCCATCGCTTACACGCTCTGGAGTCTGCCAGGCATTGGCCAGGGCACACCCCGGCTCTGCCGATTCTAGGGCTTCTCCGCAATGCAAGAAAATCACTTAACAATTCCAGCCTCATCGAGAGTATCCATCATCAGCAATTGCGCAAGACGGTGAACAGGTACTCACTCGGTAGACTCCGATGCGTAGGCACATGCCAGAAACAAGATGAGCGAATCATGCCCCAGATGTTAAGCTTTGGGATTGTCGCCCCCCATCTCACACCTCGGCCGGATCAAGGTGTGTCTAGGGAGCGACGGCCGAATGGCATTCGGGTACAGTGGCCTGGCCTTGGAAAAAACAGAATTTACTGCTTCTGACGTCGTGAGCGCCATGGCCTGCCCGTTGTGGGAAAGGCCCTGAGCTGGCCTAGGCTGGCTCAAGGGGGACAGAATTTAGGTAGGATGACATGGATTGTTCCTAGGGCCATCAACTGCACGGACACGGACAAGGACAAGGAAGCTGAAATGGTATTTGGTCTTGAGTCGTGATGAAACAACCAGTCTTTTTGAGATGAAGTTTTTTGTTTACTACTCTCGAGAGTCAACATCGCCATTTAACCTCACAACGATGAGACAGCACATTCCACCGGCTGCAAATCATGCAACGTGGCCCAGGAACTTTATCTGGAATCCAGCGCCTAAAACAACAAATTAATTCCCGACTCACCGTGGCTGATCGTCTCCCCGGGACGGTACTTGAGTCATTAGACTCAGTCCATTTTTTCACTTTCGGCAGTTTTTCTTGGCCCGTTTTTGCTCTAATTTCAATGTTCCCGCTTTTGCCCTTGCAACCATCGACAAAGAGCCTCTCCTCGTCTCGATGTGGACAATCACCGATGGAGTGCACCAAATTTCAACTTCCAGGCTCATGGTTACATCGTCAAGGCTGCTCAATTTTGGCAAGCTATTCCCTGTAAGACGCTGCAGGCTCCAGGGACTTTGATAAGCTCCACAGAGGCACACACAAAAATGAAGTTGTCGCATAAAAACAACAGAACCAAAAACCCCTCCTTATTCTTTCGTCAGTTGACGACTAAGAGCGCCGATCGTCCCGCATAGGTTTTGTGTTCACGAATAGATCATCGCACAGTGATCGTCTGCCACGACTCAAACGGCCGTGCTCACGCATGCTTATGCGAGTCCGTTACTAAACATCATGCAGCCATAAGCCATGAATTGCGTGATGAAAGCTTTGGAAGTGTTTCTTTCCTGGGATTCTTGTGTTTGTCCGTGGAACAATTTTGCAAGGTGAGGAGAACAGATGGGGGATCAAGACAACTCATTGCTACCTCAACCCTCCAAACTCTTCACAACAACAACCTCCTGAGGAGTCTCCACGACGCAAGTGATGATCGCTACCCCGCTAGCAGCAAATCGAAGCACCACCTTCAGGTCTTGGCTTTGATCCCTATCGATGAGGGGGATCTGTTTGGGTGCCGCCCCCGTCGGCACTTCTCGCACTTGTTTTTGGCTCGCCCTATCAAATTGCCCCTGCTACCCTGCATATCAGCTTTCTGCACTCTGTTTCGTGTGCTAGACCATGGGGTGGTGTCAAATGACGGTGAGCGGATAAAGAACCGGCCTCTACGGATAAGGAATCTTTGTAGGTGGTCTGAGTGCCAGTTTCACTATGAGTCTTCACAGTGGTCTGATATCAGGTTCACGACTTCTCTGGATGTCTGGTTCATACATACATCTGAAGCTGTATCCTTAAAAACTAACTCACAAGCTATGCTACTCTGGACCCTGTTCTAGGCGGGGGAAGCTTTGGAGCTTCGACTCTTCTTTCATGCGGGATGCCCCGTGCTGCTGCATGACGGGCGCCACTCGAAGCCAGCCCTGTCTGGACGGAGAGAATCGCTGGGTGCTGTGATGTTGCAGGGCATGATGTGCTGTGATATCTTCCGATATCACGCTTTCCGGTTGTGCTTCCGATGCGTTGTTTTCTTTCCGGCGGGGAATGATTGTCGCGAAAACCACCACAAATGGCCTCGGAGAGCGATAACGAGGGACAGTCCTGCTTGGGGATGGTATGACTTGAGATGACTGCCTAAACAGGCAACCCGATCTATTTGCACGTCTCGTGTCTATCAGGTACAAGCTCGATACCTTTTGTTGTGGCTTGTGACAACTTGCCTCCTCTGGCTTGGTTTACTGGTGTTATGAGCTCCGGCTATGAGATTCTCAAAAGCATTCCGATGTTGCCGGTTGTACGGATACTCAACCCTTTTCATTCGCTTGCCTGGATATCACCATGCCAATCAAGACGGGACACACTTAGCATGAGCCATGCAAGTAGCCTCTGGCAGGAATACGTCTTTCTAGTCCCAACTTGCATACAATGAGGCCATCAGTCGATGCCTCGATACTTGTAGCCTGCGGCTTGCAAGGGATGGCAAGAAAGCTTAGGACCTCTGGTCTAAGTGATGAAAAGACTTATGTAAACTCAGTGTATCTTCTGAGCAACTTAGACCAGTTTATTGTGCTAGCCTACTTCAGCTCCAAGAGGTTTCTTACTCCTTGAGGCTTGCTCTTGTAACCAAAGTTATCTCGTGATCTGCAGTTGATGTTCGACTGGGGCTCGGCAAGGCTTCACTCGTTGTCATTTTCGATCAGTATCCTTCCAGCCTTGTGATACTCCGTAGAATGAGGCTTTGTCTATCTTGTCTCCTTTAACAATGGTCTGCTCTGATCAAGAACACGACATGACACTTGTGGAAGTTGAGATCATTGGTCAGTTGCGACTCCTTCCTCCAAGATGCTGTAGATATTGTAGAAATATTGATTCGTCGCCGTAGAGAATGTTCCCCGGAGTAAGTGTTGATGCCACGATATCCTGCAAGCATGCCGGACCCTCGCCATGATCTTTATTCATGTCAAAACGTAAAGCCCCCTGACACTCAACCTCAATACTCGTCCCACGTAACTCGCTATCCTACCCGTCGATTTCACCCAATGCCCCATCCATGTTAAGCCTCTCCATCAGCATCTATATACTTTTCTTCTATTTGAGCCACGGCTGCCAACCTTCTCTTGTGTTTCCTGGTAAAGCTTTTAGTCCTTCGCTGATCCTTTTTTTCCTTCCCAAGAGCCCTCTTCCTCTGCGCCCAGAGTTTATGCTCCAGCTTGTATACCTTGAACATTGCTCGTCTATATATCTCGCTGTTTCGGTTTGTATTACTTGGTACAAGCTTTTCGTAAAGCTCCCTCGGAGTTTCTATGCCGCTGGCATGCGTTGGTGGAGGCTGAGATGCTTGCTTTAAGGAATGAGTATCTCCTTTCCTACTGGCCTTCATCTTCTCCTCGAGGGAGGCGAACTTTTGGTCGAAGTTGGTGGTTTTATCAACCCCTTCTTGAGGGGGTTTCTCGGCCATGTCTTTGGTTGATGGCATTTTGAAGGTCGGGCTAAGTTTGAGGTTTGTGACGCCGACTAAGCGTCTTGTGCCAACGGTATGGAACTCGATGCTCATGTAAATTGTGTTGTCCCGAATCCCGGTCGCGACGTAGACATGCAGTTGTGGTAGAAACGATCCATTGATGGTATCCTATGAGAAAAACATCAGCCTGAGATCGGGTGAGCTGCAAGGAGAGACTTACATTCGCTAGCCCTGGGCCGCCAATGTGGTTCACAATGTACATATTGATAGAGCCAGGCACAGGCTCAACAGGCACAGGTCCTCCTATCCCATCCGCTTTCCATTTCTCAAGTGCAATATTGGTAAGGTCATACAGTCCATTGGGTTTTATGCTGCGTTTCTTTCCCTGCGTGGCATTAGCATCATGTGTTTTACCACTTCAAAACATCCACATACGCGGTTCTTCTGAAAAGTGATCTCAGTGTGTTTTCTTGCATTTAACTTTATACGATACACGTTCCACTTGTCATATTTCACTTCGAATGATGCGTTGCCCGTAGTCCAATCTCTTTTTGGCAGTCTACACTCTTCACATTCGACGCTCTGAAGGATATTTGCCATAATCCTAACCTGCTCCCACTGTGGGCCTTCAAAGATCAGCACGCCGAGATCGTTATACAGATAAGGGAGAATGGCCATCTCCATATCGGTGTCGACTGTTGCCTGAACACCAGCTACTGCGCCAGGAGGTATAGTTCCCTTTGCTCGTGGTTGCAGCGCTGGTTTGAACTTGTTGAGCGTCGGCCAGCTTGAAAAGGCTATGGAGGTATTCGGGATTTTTATAATGGTATACTTGGCACTGGGGTCTGCGGGAATCGGACGTGCTGATCTGGCTCCTGGCACCTGCAGACCACTTGGCCAGGGCCTTGTGGTTCGCTTTCCCTTTGGCTTCTGCATCTGCGTCTGCTCCGGCTCTTCTTTTATCATGTTCCTGTAACGCGCATAGCTCGCGGGTCTGAAGAGTGCTCGGGGGCCTCTCAGAGCATTGCTTGCTCTCACTGACATGATGGTTAGCTTCCGGGCCAGATCCGGGATGTTAGCAAGGAGTCTTGACTCGAGGGATTGCGCGGGCGTGGATCGGAATCTTCAAAAACAGTTGACGATGGCGCAATGCAGAAGCTGAATGTTAAGTTTCGTGGCTGAAGCTACAGCGAGGCTGAAGTGGGGGACCGACGCCACAGTCTGGGCATGGCCGCGGCAGCATCATACATCATCCGCAGCGGTATCCCGCGGCTGTATGAGACCGTGATCCATACACAAACACAGTTAATATGAGCTTAAATCCGCAATTAAGACGGCAAGTAATCGCCATATATAAAGGTCTATCTTTCCAAGCCCTGGAGCTGTCATATATAGGGTATATGCTGACCATGATATAATAGAGCTTCTGTATATGGGAAGAGAGTATCCCCTCGGCTTTGACTACTTTCGACCTCGCCTTCACAAAGCCTTCATCTCAAAAGCTGGAGAACGTGATGAGGATAAGATCCGCCAGGGGATTGCACAAGCTGAGTATGTCAAGAAAGGTATGTTTTTGAGACGAGTGTGTTGATGACATTGGCTAACCTATACGATAGAAATTGAAGCATTGTAAGTTCTTGTTCCTTGGGTTTACGTCGCTCACATCGTGAGACAACTTGCAACTCATTCGAATATGATTGTTGTTTGTATTTATACCACGAGTATCCCTGTCTATCGGCAAACATCACGTATCGATGCAAGGCATCCCACTACATCACAATGCACCAGTCGCAAACACTCCAGTCCATGCCAATAAGTTCATTTATCCCAAAAGCTACATTATCCTGATATCCCAACCATTATCCGTCAACCTGCTTTTTACTAATCATATGGGGTATAGGTACTACTTGAAAAGGTATCGCACATTGAGAAAACGATATGACGCCAACGCGTAAAGGGGAAGGGGGGTATGTTGTGCATGTAGAAGATGCTGATCGAGGTTCTTTGGGACGTTGAGGTCCAGGGTGTGTGTAGTTATTGTGTCAGGGAAGTGTTCCAGTCTTGCATCTGTCATGAGACATAGATGTTGAGCCATTCGTCATAATCCACGGGAAGATCATCTTTGCTTTTGCGGTACAGTGACCACAGTGACTCCCAGGCCTTACTCCTTGCGTGGTCTCTTTCTTGAGGACCACACTCCCAACTCCAAACATTCTCCCCAGCTTGTCCCGCTCTCGCTCATAAGATCCGCCATCATCTTAGCTACCCACGCATCCCACTCATCCTGGCTCTTGCCGCTCGCTTCTCTGATGATAGGTTCCAGTGCCGACACTTGTTGTGCAACTGTCAAGAGCGCCGTCTTACGAAGCGCAGATTGTCCCGGTGTCAAGGTCTTCTTCTCGACCTTCTGGTGCGGTGTTGACTTGGCCTTCATCTCCACGTACGACTTGCCATCCTTAGTGACAACACCGCCGACGCCTTCGCGCTCCCATCGGACTTCGCTCAAGGGAATGGCGAGACGTTTTGTCTTGATGTCCATAAGCACCTCTGCTTCAGCATGGAGGAAGGCCCCAATGAGAGAGCACGGTACAGGTGAGAGCTGTCGTCCTTCCAGAGTCCTTGACAGCCAAGTGTTGTACTCAACCAAGAAAGAGTTCAGAGGCGCGGAAAGGGGTGTTTTGGAAGTCATGAGATAGGCGCCTAGATCAAGGGCAGCCTCGTGTTCTTCTGCTTCTTCTGATCCGGGCATTGCGCTTGGGACATGAGGTCGCAGCATGCGGAAAGTTGGATCACTGTCCCAGATTTCCATCACTCCTCCAGGCTTGAGCATACGAAGATACTCTTCCACAAAAAGTTGGTAAACATGACTCGGAACCATCAGGCACGTATCCTTGACCATGATCAGATCAAACTCTTCGTCGGCAAAGGGCCATGGAATATTTCGAAGATCGTGCTGAACAAATCTCCATTTCATGTCCTTGTCTGGCTTGCACAGCTCGGCAGGGGATCCAGGACTGCCAGGGGCCAGGGGGGCGATGTCGATGCCAGTGAAGTGAATACCATTGTGGCCTCGCTCCCTGTAGTATCTGTGGCACATCATACTCCAAAATCCCGTACCACATCCGACCTCCAACACCCGCTGCGGGGGATTGTTTCGGATGAATGGTGTGTAGACGGGTGCGCCATATACCTGGATCATCAAGAGCGTCCGCAGGCTCTGGCGATGGAGCTCAGCAAGGTCGGTGGGAAGAGGGTACGCCGACGTAGGGTCATTGTAGTAGGTGCGGCCATTTTTAACGATGAAGGGCTTTGTCGCGGGGTCAGAGTTGGAGTGGTCTGTCGAGGTCATGGTTTGTGTCGAGACGGTTGTGTTGCCACTTGTAGAGGAGACCGAGTCTGTTCGAGGAAAGTCGAGGTTTACCTGCTTCGTCGTGCCTGACATGAGTTTGTTGCCTGCATCCAACTGAGAGTACATGGTGACATTTTTCAGATCAACTGAGGTTGTTGTTGGGGTCGCAGCGGAAGATTGACGACGAGGATCGCGCTGCCGAGTCTTGTCGACGTACACAGGCCGATTGAAGACAATAGGCGAGTGTAACGGCGATGCACCTCCGCTGGTGAAACTCTTGGTAGGTAGATGTTTGTTGGAGGTCGAGGAGGTCGCAGTCGTGGTCGTCACTGGCTTCGAAGATTGTTGGCGCGAGTCAGATGATAACAGTTTTGAGTGCGAGTAATGAGAGTCGTCCTCTGGCAGGGCGGGGCCGTTTTTGGTATTGGGGCTGGTTGTGGAATGCACAAGCGACGAGTCGTGCGAGGAACGACTACCCTGACTCCCACTAGACGTCCTCGTATGGCGAAAAGGACGTCTTGCGCGGTTGGAGTTTGGGGCAATGTCGTGTGAATCCGAATTGGATCGAGGAGGAGTTTCAGGGCGCTGCCGCTCCTTTTCAGCAGCAGCCTTTGCACGGCGAGCAAAGGTGGGTAAGGGGTTGGCAGAAGCGTAGTAAAATCCGCTCCATTCCGACATTGTTGGCTCTGCCGCTATACTATACTCTTTGGCGCAAGCTTTCCGGTGGATAGCTTTGGTGAAATGGGGAAGGGTAGGGGTGCTGAGTGGTCCAAACAGGGGTGCCACTAGGTAAAATAACTTAACTGCCCGGGCGTGTTCCAGTTCCACCGCCGCTAGCAAACACACTTGGGATGGCTGCTGCTCATCAACTGACGAACTGAACTGAACTACACACAAACAGTCCAACGACCCGCGATGGTAGGCCAAACGGTACCTACAGCAAATCTCCTGGCCCCCGGTCGGTAGCACCTTTGGCCCTTCTAGAACCCTTCTCTGGCCCGCGGAACTGGGTTATCAAGTCCGGGTGGTTGCCGGATTGCGTCCCGGACCATGCAGGGGCAGTTAAAGCAACAGTAGCAGAAGGCCCTTGGTTCCTTGGCCCTTTTGTTGACGCTTGTCTGATCAGAGGTGTCGCCTAAATCGAAGAGCAGGGTTCGTTCATCAGCCAGCGTTACGCTGAAGATATGTACTATGTATCCGTAATTCGCGCAAATGTGATGGGTGGGAAGCAAATATGGATGTGGATGCGGATGGATGCGAATATCGAGTGCCGAAACCGTTTGCAACCGTGATATCAAACGTTGTTGGTCGTGCGTGGACCCTTCATAAGCTGGTTGGTTTCGTGATTGTTTGTGCCTGACTGACTGCCTAACAAGCTGAAGCCAACGTCATTATCTCTATGCCGTCGATGGCTTTTATGCTCTCGCTCTGGTGGACGAGGCGTCTGTGCTGGCGCGATCTTGGATCCGCTGGAGCAACCAGCTTTTTTATGATGGCGTTCGCTGGCTGGCAACAAACAGTACAGTCCCTGCGATGTGATGTGATAAGCGTTTATCCTTATCAAAAGGTGACGGGTAGCGCCGCAGGGACGCGTACAGTTCCCTGAGTCGGTATAGTTGATAAACTCTCACCAAACAGCAATTCGGATAGTTGCGTCGAGATCGAGCACAAGTGGATTGATCTGTTTCGAGATCGAGGAAAGAGAGCAAACTGCATATCCTGTACTGTGCATGTGCAGCACAGCAGTTTCAGGTCGGACAAGCAGTGAAGCAAACAAGTAATAAACAGCAAACTTTGCCTGCAATGGCGGCAGCGGTGACTTTCTATATACGGCCATCCCCATCCTTCATGCTTCACGCTTTCACGCTTGCTCGGGCCAAAAGGCAGCATTTCCCCAGTTCCCAACTGTCTGGGGTGTGGAGCGGCGCGCTTCGGTTGGCCATCCCCCGCACATTAGAGCTTTTTGCCTGATGTTTTATTGACGCTTATCGAATTAGCAGCTTCCTATCCAGCCTGACCTTGGCGGTCCGAGGTTTCTTGTGGTTGGTTCGACAGGGAACAGTGGCTCTCTAACTTGTGATTTCTGCAGGCCGCAGCTCACCTAAACTTTCTCGACTCTCATGCACTTGCTAGGCTCTGCAGTATGTATCATCCATGTACCATGCCGGGAGGATTCAACTCCCAATTTCAGCTTGCATCTGAATCTGACAGCGTAAACATAGTCTCCCATGTTCTCGTTTCAGTGAGTGTAAACGTACCAATCGCATAGGTTGCTCGCATGAATGATTGCCGAGTTACCCATGGGCTCAGGAGTCAAGCTTGCGATCTTCTCCCGTCCCGGAACGGATAGGCTGTTCAGAGTTCAAACGAGACATTTCTGTGACAGGAACGTAGGAGCGCTACCCGAAGATGAACATTGTCCAACGGTCCTATTCTCGGCCGAATGGCATAACATTGGATGCCCATGCCGGTTTGAGCTGAAGTGTTTGTCTCTTCGACTCAAGCCTTGGTGACGTGATACATAAGCCAGAATCCAGTTGGTTGATTTGAGCCCATGATTGTCCCCTCTTCCGATGGTGGTGCTTCCCATGTATACATCCAGCCCATCTTGACTCTCTCCGAGGCTGCACGCGGTCCGTGTTAGTGGACGGAACCATTGAATCCGTGGGACGCCAAATAACAGGGCTGTCGGAGC